CATATTAATAAAAAAATTGGAGCATTATGGTATCAGGGGAGTGGTTTTACTTTGGATGAAAAGTTATTTAAGTAACAGGCAATAAATTGTGAAAATGGGTGACTTTCAATCATCATGTTTGGACATTGCTTGTGGTGTCCCCCAGGGGTCAGTATTGGGACCGAAACTTTTTATTCTATACATAAATAACATTCGCAAGGTCTCAAAAATACTACAATTTGTTTTGTTTGCAGATGATACAAATGTTTTCTGTGAAGGGGAGAATTTACAGCAGCTTGTGGAGGAAATCAACTGAGAGTTGAACAAACTAAAAAAGTGGTTTGATATACTGTAAATAAATTATCATTAAATTTGGACAAAACTAAGTTCCTGTTGTTTGGAAATCATAAAGGCAATAATGATTTAAAAGTAGGAATAGAGGGTATATATGTAGACAGAGTTAATGAAATTAAGTTTCTGGGTGTGCTGATCGACCACAAGATCTGCTGGAAACCTCACTTTCAATATGTTCAAGCTAAAGTATCACGAAGTTTCTCGGTCCTTAGTAAAGCTAGATACTCATTGAATAATAAAGCATTACACTAAAGATGAAAATGTACCAGTGAGAGAGTCTGTGTGAAGTTAACGATGACCAATTAACCAGTGAATACAAGGTGCAGTGGTGGGTACGATAATCACAGCCTGTTATGTATCTTAGTGCACCATGATAGACAGCATCCAACATCTGCAGCATCCAACATCTGCAGCATCCAACATCTGCAGGGTTCTTGTAGGAGCGTTCATGTAAATAATGTCACCGTAATCAGTGGAGGGAAGGAAAGTCACAGATACAAGGTGTTTCCTAGCATTCAGAGTTAGACAGGATCTGTTTCTGAAAAAGAAACCCAGTTTAACTTTCAGTTTCTTTACCAAGTTTTCCACATGGAGCTTAAAAGAGAGATGTGAGTCGACCAAGATACCCAAGAATTTGTAAGAATCGCCAAACTCAATAGGAACACCATTCGAAGATAAAATACAAAGTAGAAGGAAGGACTGCTGGAACCGACTTCCTGTTTAAAAACAACATCCCCTTGGTTTTGTCGGCATTTAGGACAAGTTTGAGGTGGAACAAATGACTGGATGATGTTAAAAGCAGATTGGAAAAGCTGGAAAGCCTTATCAACCGTTTTAGCTCGACAATAAACAAGTGTCATCAGCATAGAAATGTAAGGATGCATCAGGGATGCTCTGACCTACATTACCTATGTAGATTGTGAAGAGGGTGTGTCTTAAGACTGAACCTTGAGGTACACTGTTGTTAACAGTTAGATAACTGGAAGAAGCACCATTATGTTGAACACATTGCCTCCAATCTGAGAGATAATTAGAGAACCAACCAATAGTGTGAGCAGAAAAAACAATTTCTGAGAGCTTATGACACAAGATGTTCTGATCCAGTGTCAAAAGCTTCAGACAGGTCTAAGTAAAGTGCAGAACAATAATCCTTAGCATCCAGTGCTTCAACAACATCATTAAAAACCTTCAGCGAAGCAGTGGTTGTGCTGTGTTGTTTCCTGAAACCAGACTGATGGAGAGGTAAAATGTTGAAAAAATCCAAAGACTTCTTGATTTGAGAGTTTATCAGTTTTTCTAGGACCTTAGCTAAAATACAGAGTTTAAAGATTGGTTGATAAATGTTCAATATGGTGAGGTCTCCCCCTTCAGTAAAGGTAGTACAAAAGCTGTTTTCCAAGCGTTTGGATCGGTGTTTTGGCTTATGGACAGGTTGAAGATGTGAGACACCGGTTCTGCAATGTGTGCGGCCAGCCTTAAGAAATAAGGAAGAAGGTCATCAGGGCCTGCAGACATAGTCTGCCTGAAATACTCTCTTCCACAAACTGGATGTTATTTACCATACTGCTATACTCCAGTTAACAACTTCATGGAGTTTCATTTAATATAGACCATTTGTATTCTCTGAAAAAACTGGCTTTCTTTCTAGTCTTGCTGACAAACTCACTAGTTTCTGTTAATTTACAAATGTCACATTGGGAAAACCTAGTTATGGACACTTCTGACAATGTAAACTGTAATCTGTGTTCTAGTAGCCTCATTTGATATTTTTATTTTGCTGTCTGACACTACTTTGTATGATGAGGTAACTATAAGTTTTGTATTTGCTGCTGCCTTTCTAAGCAAGGTTTCTCTTGAGAAAGAGGTTTTTGATCTCAACTGGAACTTCCTGGTTAAATAAAGATTAATATTAATAAAAATCAATCTCCTCATATCCAAAGCAGATACCTCCTTTGGCTACTAATCATTTCAGTTCTCTGCTGCAGATAAATGGTACCATGTGCAACAATGAGCTTGGCTCATTTTGCTCTGTTCTTAAAAAAAAAAAAGATAAAATCAATAGTATAAGATGTTTTCCACTTGTTTTATACTGTAGGCAGCACAGTGGCTCAGCTGCTGCCTCTCAGCAAAAAGGTCGCCCTGGTTCAAATCCCAGCTGGGGGTCTTTCTGGGTGGAGTTTGCATGCGTGGGTTTTCTCCAGGTACTCTGGTTTCCTCCCACAGACCAAAAACATGCATGTTAGACTGATTGGTAACTTTAAACTGTCCCTAGGTGAGAGAGTGAATGGTTTGCCTCCTTTGTCCCTATGTGTCCCTGTGATGGACTGGAGACCTGTCCAGGGTGTCCCTGTAATGGACTGGAGACCTGTCCAGGGTGTCCCTGTGATGGACTGGAGACCTGTCCAGGGTGTCCCTGTGATGGACTGGAGACCTGTCCAGGGTGTCCCCGCTTCTTGCACAGTGATGGTTGGACATGGGCTCTAGTGACCCCGGTGACCCGAAAAGGAAGAAGCGAGTAAAGATGATGGATGGATGGATGAAGGATGATGGATGGTTTTACTGGTTTTTTGTTTTTCTTGTTCCCAACGTGTCTTTATTGTTGGTTTTTGTGTTTTATGCTTGTATCATAGCTGTTTTATATCTTTAACGCTGCCTCTTGCACAGGTCCTTATTGTGATTGAGAACTGGTTCTGACTGACCTGGTGAATTCATTCATTCAACCTTTATTTATACAGGTTAGTGTCATTGAGCCGCGGGGACTCATT